AGTCCCTTAGAATATTTTGGCTTAAAGGTCCAAATACTGAGTCCTTATCTCAGAGTCAACCATCCACTACAGCAGTATTCTTTAACTATCACCTGTGAATTCCAGATCTTTAGGACACTGCCAAAAGCTTTGCAATGGCACATGATCTGCAAAAGACCACCTAGGTTACAGGTACCTTGATTCCCTGTTCAAACCTCTGTCTCTCTCTCTCTCTCTCTCTCTCTCTCTCTCTCTCTCTCTCTCATATATCTCTGTGCTTTTGTGATGGTTGTCTAAAAGCCAGTCACAGAAATGACCTTTTAAGGAGAAAAAAAATCTATTTAGTGCTGTGCTCTTGTCTGGGAGCTTTGCTATGTTCCAAAAGGCAATCAACTTCTTTACAAAATTCTGCTCCCCATTCAGCCTAACATCAACCTCTGCCACCGATAAAGATTCTGGTTGATTTCTCTGAATTTTGACTAATTTCTTACCTCAATAAAATATACTAAACCACAATTTGAAAGATGACACAACACACACACCCGAGGAGCCCCCTTCCCACCACACCCAACTAGCAAAGTAATTTGATAGCACACTTACTTGGATAGGAGGGGTATATCAGTCAGCGAGTGACCTTAGGTAAGTTATTTAACTACTATTCTGCCTTCACTTTCTCTCCTGATAAAATGAGGAGACTGGACAAAAAGTTCTGGAATTTCATAATTCTAGAGCCAATACATCTCCTCAAAGTTACAACTTTAACCTAAATTGGAGTCAACAAACTACAGCCCTTGAGTCAAATCCCGCCCACTGCCTGCTTTTTTGTATGGTCCATGAGCTAAGAATAGCGTTTACATTTTAAATGGTTGGGGGAAAAAAAAATCAAAGAATAGTATTTCATGACATGTAAAAAAATATATAAAATTCAAATTTCAGTGTCCATAAATAAAGTTTTATTGGAACACAGCCATGCTTATTCATTTAAAGATTATCCATGCCTTCGTAACACAAAGAAAGAGTTGAGTGGTTCCAACAGAGAAAGTATGGCCTGCAAAGCCTAAAATATTTACTATCTTTACAGAAAATGCTTTCCCTCTACAGAAGAAGTCTGACAACCCCAGACATAAGCCATTAGACTATTTGCATAGTAACAAAGTCTGCTGTAAAGCTCTTACCTGATTGAAGTTTTATTTCAGGAAAAGAGCAGTCTCATAAAGTAATCTCAGAAATCAAAAACAAAACTAATGGATGATTAGACAATCTAATCTTTATAAAAGAAACTGCTGGAAATCATTGATGAATCTACTTTGCCCATGTCAGGATTGATTTCTTATGAGAAACAATTTACTCCAAAGAATTTGTCTCTTCCCATTACTTTGCAAAAAGACCAATGCAGTGCATTTTTCCCTTTCCTTTTTATTTTTCTTTTTTTAAAGTGATCTGAGGGCAAATTTATCTTTTCCTCATGAGTAATGGTATCATTGGTGAAAATGACTGTTAAAGAGCAAGCAAGCATGGAACAAATTGCTGTCCAATAAAGCAGTGACTTTGAAAAGGAAATTGCCCTGCTTAAGTGATGGATTCTGTTTCAGTCGTCATGACCCAAGTTATGAGGCAGTCCAGGGACCCGGGTCCTGGCCCTTATAGTCAAAGCAGCTGCAAAGCCCCACTGGGAGCTCTCCAAGGACTCTGTGAATGGCCAAAGGCTGACCCACCCGCCCCACCGCCTCTACAGGCTACAGCCCTACAGAGCCACAGAGGCTGAGCAAGGATGTGGCAGCACTTAGCATTGAGTCTCCCCCCAATCCCCTTTCAGCTAGCCTGGAATGCCCCCCCTTCACCTCCCCATCTCTGCTTACCTACTCCAATCAAGGCCCACTCTGCATTCCAAGCCTCATGATACCTTGAATTACTTTTTATTATTTCATGTGTGTGTTTTCTCCTCACAAGGCCTGAATAAGATCCTTTAGCACAGAGAGCGCCGATCATTTAGACATATTTCAGTTACCCACAAGAAACATCAGTGAAGACAATGATAATGGTGAAATGGGAAGGCTTTAAACCTTTTTTCTCAAATAAATAAATGCCTTTCAAAACTAGAAATATTTGTTTTAGTTCTAAGTTAAATTTTATATTTTGCTTTATATTAGTGTTTTAAGACAATTAGAGGAATTTAATGTTTTGAAAGAGTCTTAGTCCTAGAATCTATCAAAATATGGTTTCTTAGTTTTGCTTTCAAAAGGAATCATAAAATTATTGCAACCATTAGAAAAAACAAGGCTAATTGATAAACCTGGGGAGTATTTTAAAAATATCAACTTCTGGGCTCCATTCCTCAAAAGATTCTGATTTAATTGACCCAGATAGGGCCTAGGTCTGAGTGTTTTTGGTAATCTCCCCAGTGCTTCACTGGCCATGTGAAAATCAGACTCCAGCACGTGAGAACCTCATATACACTTCTGTTAGAGTATTTGTCATCTTCTACCAAGATTACTTGGGTGCGTGTCTCCCTCTCCTTATAGATGGTAAGTTTATGAAGGGCCAGGAGGGGGCTGTCAGAAAGTGCCTGCCATTAACCCAGCTTCTTCTGAGGGAAACCACTGTGGAGGGAAGAGGGGGAGGAACCCTAGGAAGATCCTTAAGCAAAGGTGGTCAGGCTCTGTACCCTGCGATACCAACAACCAGGACACGAATGATTGGCCCAGGAACAGGCACCTGACCAGGGACTGCTGATCTACAGGGTGTCCAGCCCTACAAGGAGGCCTGACACAAAGCTCAGTCCAACTCTAGCACCTGGTGAGTGCCCAGTGGGGCCAATTAGATCCTTTCACTAAAGGAGTTTAAATGTGAGATCAACAGAGAGCTGAGCAGTTGGTAGCAGGGGCAGAAGCCAAAGGACACCCGGAGAAAAACAGCGAGAGAGGAACTGAATCACCTTGGTGGCTAAGCCTGTTAGTAGGGATCGGCAGATGCCTGCTGCTGAGGGGGCAGCGAGATAACCCAGTCACAGAGCCGTATCCTGAATGACCTCCCAGTTCCTGAACTTCAATCCAGTTTTCGTGAGGCCTGGCTGGGTGGCCTTTCCGGAAGGCTTTTCGGAGACACGTGGCTGAGTAGTGGAGATTCCGGTCAGCCTTCCTTCCACATCAACTCCCATTACTTAGGGTAAACTCAGTGGCATCTGCTCCTTGCAACCCAAAAGGCCCAATCAGCACAATTCCCAGGGTCTAGCCCTTTGCCTGCCACATAGCAAGTGTTAAATAATTGCAGGTGCTTGGAGGGCCTGACCATCCCCAGTGAAAAGCCTTCTGAAAATAAAGAAATCATTCCTGGTAAGAACACTGATTAGGGTCGTCTTCAAATTCCAAAAACAATGCTAACCTAGGATAAATATATTAAGCCCTCCTATTTCCAAATCCATCTACATTTCTACCATAAATCTATCAAAGAAGGAAATGTCACATTCCACAGAACTGCAGAGAGCATCCTAATTTCAGCTAAGGTATGTTTGGATGACTTGATTTTCACTTCGCTAATCTTAAATCACAGCAATGTTAGTAAGAACAATTTTCCTCCCACACTAACTTCACTGACAAACCTCCAAAGTAGATCTTCCCCCCACATTGCCACACGCATTTCCCCTGTCTATTGTCTGTATCAGCTACTTGAAGAACACATACTCCCCAACAACCGGATGAGTCATAAAATGAGAGGTACATGGATGTAAACTGAGCCTGTTTACACTTTCCTTGGCCCCAGCTAATAAAATAAAAGAGGTCCCACTGAATTCAGGTCCAGTGGCTTCCGGAAAGCAGGTTTCTGCTTAGCAAAGACATGCCTTATTTAGTACATTATTTTAAAGGTAGAGCTAATTTCATACCCCATGTGAATGAAACTCGTATTTATGGTTATAGCCATATACAGGGTGTGCAAGGACTTGCCCTCCTCATGTCCTCTACAAAAGGCGGCTCCGGCTGCTTCTGGTGGTGAGCTAACCAACAAAAGGAATGCTGAGAAGGTCTCACTTCTCCCATTTACTGAGCTCTAGGATGGGGGCTGGGTCCCTGCTCACTGGAAACAGCATCCAAGGGGGTGCTTGCTTTAGGTTTCCCACTGCATTTTTGGAAATCTGGATAAAAGCAGGTTTAGCCCAATCTCCCCTGACCTGTTTCTGATAAAGTGATCTTACGCCTCTGGAATTGGGATTTTGAATGTATGTGCCTACCCCATGTCTGGTATTATATTACAACAGCATGAAAATGGAGCCTAGGACTGAGGAGCCGGCCAGCCTCAGAAGCCTTCTTCATTGCCTGCCATGTAATACATGATATGCAAAGCCTCTGACTTCAGCCAGCAGATATTTGGAGACCGTGTTGGCCTTAGCATGGGGACTAAACTAATGTGTGTTTAGGTCAGAAAGCGAATCAGAAAAGCCACTGGAGGGCACGTCACGGAGTGAGAGCCCTATAAATTCATCCCAACTCGCAGCGTCCCCTGGCAAACACTCGGCTTCCCTCACTGGGCCGCTCCACATCTCTCCTTCTTGGTGCTAGAACTCCAGCCGGCAGCTCCTCTTCTCGCCGCTGCCTTCTGCCCTGCAGAAAAGCAAAAGGGCGAGACACCCGAGGAGGAAGGAAAGCCTTCGACAGGCGCGAGGAAAGCCCAGTGTAGCCCTGCACCCGCAGAGCCCCCTCCCTCCGACCGCGCGGCGCAGGGGCGAAGCCTGGCGCGGGCGCCGCAGTCGAGTTCGGATTGCCCCCTTTGGTTGGTCTGAGCGGAGCTCTGCACATTCCTCCGGATCTACCCAGCGACGAGAAGGCGCGAGCCCGGCGGCGTCTCCACGCGCTCAGCGCTCTCCCTGCACCCCAGGGAGGGGCGCCTCTCGTCACCCGCTTGCACCCTGCGCTCCCGCCTCGGAGCTCCAGCGCCTCCTCGCTGCTCTCCTCTCTCTCCCACCGCCCGGCCCCGCCGCCGCCTCCGGACCCCTCCCCTCCCAGGGCCCCGCGCCTCCCCTCCCCCACCACGGCCCCCCAGCCCGGGCTCTCGACGACCAGCCTGCGCTCCTGGCGCCCTCATGTCTTCACGGGACTCCCCGCGCCGGTTGACGTGGTGTCTCGTTCGGATCTCTAGGCAAGACCTCAGCTCCTGCGGCATCAGACAGGCCGGTCTTGTGCTCCCAGGCACTGCGCCCCGAGGAGGCGCAGAGCGCGGCAACCGCCGCTGAGCCTCCCGCAGCGCCCCAGGCCCGCGGAGCCCCGGCCGAGAGCGCAGCACTCTCAGCGTGTCACCCCCCACCCGAGACTGCGGCGGCTGCTCAGACCTCAGCTTCTGGGAGTACGGGGGCCGGCGGGGGAGTTGTCGTTAGCCCTCGTCCTTCCCGCGGTGGTGGAGGCGGCGGGAGCCCTGGTCGCCGCCTCCTGCGCTCGGTCGCTGCCCCGCGCGACCCCAGGATTGAGAACTCCTGCAGCTGACCTGTTGGGCGGAGCTCAGCGCTCCAGCCATCGGCCCGGATGGGTCTCCTGGTTGGGACTTGGGGCACCTGGAGTTAATGTTCACCTGGGGGTCTGCGGAGACCCTATCCGAGGTAAGTGGGCGAGCGGGCCAGGGTGGAGGAGGCGGGTGGCGCCTGCGTCGTAGGGAGCCCGGGATAGAGGGACGCGTCTGGACCCCCAGAACAGGCGGTGAGAGTAGAAAGTAAAAAGACTAGAAGGAGCCGAGGCTCCGGGGGGACAGAGGAGAGAGAGAAGTTGAACCGAAGAGGGGCTGGCTTTGCGGAGGGGCAGGTTGCCTTTTCCACGTGGGCAAAGAACTTCGGAGCCCCTGATGCCCCTGGACTCTGGAATGCCCAAGAGGGGCAGTTTCCTTCTCTGCAGGGTGCTCCTGTCAAGTCCCAGAACGATGCGGGGCTTGTGTCATCCTTCAACCCATGGCCTCTCTGGACGTGTAGCAGCAGAGATATTATCATTGCCAAGAGTTTAACTTACTGTTGAGCTTGTTTTGGTCTGTTCCAAGGGAAAGTGTAGGCCCGGGAGGGACTGCCGCAAAGGTGTTGAGGACTAAAAATAGAGGGCTCACCTCCTGCCGGAGCGGTCCTGCAAAGCTGCATTCTTTGCCCTTTTCGTAACCCAGTTGCTTGTACTTTCCTAATGCCCTCAACCCCAACTAACCATCCCCGTCGAGGTTAGGAGAGGGGATCCTTTGGCAGCCCTGGACTCAGATCTCGGTCTCGTACAGACTCTTGGAACTCCTCAAGGTCTCCACTAAGCCACCTAGGTGGTTCTTTTAAGGACCTCTTTTCTCCAGTACTCTGTGCCTCCTCCCCAGTAACACCCCACCACCAGCACCACCGCCACTCACCACTACCTTACACTACCTCGGGGCTAATTCAGGAGTAATCTGGTTTCCAGCCAGTGCAAAGGAACCCTCATTCGGGCCGGGAGTGGACTTTCGAGGGGTCTCTCCCAGCCTCCTCGCTTGTTTGGGCTGTGGCAGAATCCGCCTGCAGAGCCGATGTGCGCACCCCGGGAGCTGCCCAGCCCCGAGCTCACTACCTTCTTGCCCATTGGCGAGGACAAATGCAACTCCTCCGGCCTCTGCCGCGGGTGAGTTAGAGCGTGCTCTACTCTTACCCGGTATTTTGAATATACGTTTAAGTATATCAAGGAAAAGGTGCTGCTTCCAACCACAAGAACACACTTTTTCTTGCAAAGCCGTCAAAGTGGGCGTCCCCGGGCTCCCTTCCGGCCCCGACCAAGCCCTCACTGTTTTGCTGCTCCTTCGCTTTGACATGGGGGTGTCGCCTTTTTAACAAGTGGCAAGTGTCGAAGCCCATCGCATCCCTAGCCTGCTACTGCAAGAGATTCGGGTGCTCCCGGACCCGGAACCCAGCTTTGGGCCCTCCAGCACACAGACCCCGTCCCCAGCTTGCCTTTGAGAAGTGTCCAGCATTCTTTGTCTTTCCCTCATCTTGGGCCCCGAGATTACAGGAGGTTAGGGAGAGAATACGTCCTCCATCAGTCAAGGACTGTTAAGAAAAGCAATAGATACCCCAGCAATTTCTGTCCTTACCCCAAAAGAAAACCTCGGAGTTTATAGCAAGCCCCTCTCCCCGCCCCACGGCTTCCTTTTTCTCTCCCTGAAACCTGGATCTTGAAGGCAAAGCCCAAACAAACCTCCCAGCCTGCCAGGCACAAGAAGGTGCGGGGGCTCTGACGGCGGGAGAGCTCGCTGGCTGCGAAGCTGTCACGGCGACGCGGGGAAGGGGTGAGGGGGGTCTAAAAGCAGGTTGCCAAGAAACCAGCTCAGGTGAAGTGGGAAGAGGAAAGCTAGGGAGAAAGAATGGAGGGGTAGAAGCCTGAAAAGCAAGGATGCTGATAAGAACATCCACAGGTTCCCAAGCTAATTCGGATTTAGTAAGGATTGTAGAGGGAGTGGTTGGTTGTTCTCCAGTTTTATACTTAAAATGACAACGCAGCCTCCCTGCCGCGTGGGCGCTACAGAACTAAGAAGGTTTCTGGTGCCCCCTGGTGCTGGGAACTCGGAAGCGCCCTTCCGCGAGCGCCGGCTTCTGCGGACCCTTCTCCGGCTTTCCCTGGCGTTCTTTCCGCCCTAGGCTTGGGACCCGCCTGCTGGCGCCCACGGCGAGCCCCTTTTGCCGTGCCGGGGAACGTTAGTCCTGAACCGAGAGGGGACCAGCCCTCCAGGCACTACAAAGGGTGCGGGGTCACCTGGCGGAGCCGACTTCGGGAGGAGAGCTTGATTTCTGCACGTGGCGGCGGGTTAAGCACTTCGGACGAATAGCAACTGCGCATGGTTGCGGGGGAAACCCGTCGGGCAGAAGTAGATGTGTTTGGGAAAAGCGATAAAGAGACTGATTGGGAAGCCGCGGGGTGGGGCCCAAATGGACTCTGAGAAAACGTCCTAGTAGACCGCGGCGTGCGCCGAGTCCCCAGAACGACACCCCCTTTCCCCCGCCCAGCAAATACCGGGAACTAAAGAGCCGCTCGGACTGGAGCCGGCCCCCGCGGCACTCGGAGGGAGGAATGCGCCCTCCCCGTCCCGGGGGAGGAGGGGGACCTCTTTGGGGCGCCTGTGGCACCTGGCCGAGGGCGGGAACGGGAACCGGGAGCCTCCTCTGGCGAGAAGGGGAGTTTTCCACTGTTTCCTCTTTTGCCAGCTTCGCCACACTTCTAATAGAGGATTCCACGTCCAATTAAAAAGCCCTCCATCGGCCAAGCAGGAAAAAAGGGAAAACCCTCTTAAGACGGAAGGGAAATCTGGTGCTTCTGTCTCTTCCCGCTGGCGGGCACCGCGATTTGGAATGGCGCATTAACCCCGCGCCTCCCTGCCCCTCTGGACCGCCAGCCATTTCTCACGCACCGGGGAGCTGGCACCGAGGGCACGGGAGGCCTCGCGTTCGCCCGGTCCTGGCTGCCAAAACGCCTTTCTGTGCTCATTTCGTACCGCCTGGTGCAGCTTTCCTGGGCCTGTGTGCCCGGACCCAGAGCCGTTGCTCTTTCCTGGGTTTGCAAGCCAGCCCGCTCGGCAAGCGGCGCTCAGAAATGCAGATCGCACAGTTTCCAGTCCCTACACACTCCCTAGCCCAACAGCTGCACAGCGCACAAACAGACGTCTAAGGGACGGAAAATGCATTCGTCTCCGCAGCAGTGAGAGGCGGCGGCCGAATTAAACGCTTCCCGGGGTGGCCTGCCCGGGGACCCGGGCCAGGGTTCTGGGTAGCTATGAGGAGGAGGACCCTGACAGGGATGTGGGGTTGCCTAGGAACTAATGAAGAGGAAAGGTGGGTGCTGAGAGTCTTGCGTTTACCTGGAAACTGTCTTTCCCTCCCCCATGGCTAAACTTCAGGGAGGTTTTCCTAAGAATCCTCTTTTGGGGAGGGGGGGGTGGAGATAATCAACTGCATCAATCTCGTAGTTTCTGCTCGAAAATGCTCTCCAGCTACTAGTCGGCTGGAGACTGGAACACTGGGATTAGGAAGGCACTGGGTAACACCACGCCCTGAGGTGCCTCGATCCCTCCCCGTCTCCTCATTGGCTGGAGCATGTGCCCGAGTTTACCCTGCCTTTCTCTTGCCCACCCCCGACTGCATGGCTCTCCTTTCTAAGGGGATGAGGACTAAAAAACCAAATGGAGCCCGCCCCGCCCCCCATCCCGGGCTGAGAAGAGCTGAACCCACTTTGCATGGTCTCATGGTCTAGGACTCTCAGTGCCCGAAAGCCTCCAAAGCGTCTGGGACTGCGTGCAGCCGTCCAGGCGTGACCCCGGCGCCGGGAGCCAGCGACTCCTCTGGGAAGGGAAGAGATTAGGGCCAGAATCTCGCAAAACTGCAAAAATCAAATCAAGAGAGGGTTTTCGGGTATACCACAGAGGATTAAAATTTTCAAGACAGACTCAATCTTTGCCTAACAGCAATGGTAAAGCATTTATTGAGCGCTTACTTTATGCTCCATTAGACCTTTTCATGCATTATTTAACGCTCATAACCTTAAGAGGTGCAAGTAGTATTTTAAACCAAGTTGATGCTTCAGGAAGTTTGAATAGCTTAACCCAGATATTCCCATACAGGCCGAAAGTCTCCACGTCCCTGCTAACTTCTTGTTCTGGCAAATAAATACCTATTAAGGTGGGAAGAATGAAGTGTGGGCGTCGGGGCGGGGTGAGGAGAGCAGCGGAGCCTGCCCCCTACCTAGCTGGAAACAGGCTCGGTTGGGACCAGGGCGGAGGGGCGTTTTGCTTGATTTATTCCCAAAGACAAAGACCCGTCCTCGCCTGGGTCGAGGGCTTGTTCCAGGGCCTATGGGAGCTTCGGGGCGGGGCGGGGAGGGGAGATCTCTGGCTGGGTCGGAGGAGGCAGGGTTGGGGTAGTCCGGTTGCCCCCCAGGGAATGAGGGGGTGTTGCGCACCAGTAGAGGGGAATGGACAGGAATCCTGGTCTCGTGGAGTTCGGGAGTTTACTGGAGGGGACAGCGGCCCTGCTCGAAATTCTGACCCCTTGGACTAGATGGAGGAGGAGAAGGATAGCTGCGGCCTGAACGGCGAGTCCGAGCAGTTCCTGGGGCGCAGCAGGGAGCGGAAAGCAAGCGGAGGACTTGGAAGGAGGGCGGGGGATCCCCGAGGAAACGCTGGCGGGGCAGGAGGGCGCTGGCAAGTTTGGAGGGGGACGAGGGATCCAGGCGATGCAGCGCTGGAGGCAGCCCCGTGGCCCTGGGCGCCCAGGCCTAACGAATATTCTGCGGTTCTCCACCCGCCCGCCCGCGCAGGTGCCGCCGCCGGACGGGACTCTAAGATGAAGTTATGGGATGTCGTGGCTGTCTGCCTGGTGCTGCTCCACACCGCGTCCGCCTTCCCGCTGCCCGCCGGTAAGAGGCCTCCCGAGGCGCCCGCCGAAGACCGCTCCCTTGGCCGCCGCCGCGCACCCTTCGCGCTGAGCAGTGACTGTAAGAACCGTTCCCTCCCCGCGGGGAGCCGCCGGCGACCCCTCGCACCCACCCCGCCCGCACGCACCCGGAGCCAGCGGTGGCGGCTGCGAGGTCTCGGGACCGTGGGCAAAGCCCCCAGGGATGCGTGGCTGCCCGGAGGCCCCCGCACACACCGTGCCTGAAAATGACACGTGTTGCTTTGCCCAGCTCAGAGGGTGTGGAATTTTTACGTGGTCCCTTTAGCGGTCGCGTGAACAAAGACCCTCACCACCACAGGAACACGCACACAGTTGTCTCCTTTTCTCCGCTTCCCCACCATAGATACACACTCCCAGGTTTTCTTTCTTACAAAGCCCTTTATCTGTTTCGCTGTGCCTGGCTGTGCTTATTTCTGAAAACCATTGTACTTTTATCCTAAACTGTGCCTGCAAGAAGAGAGGCCAGCTTTTCACAAAACCAAGCCAGAGACAGAGAAAACACAGAAGGGCCTCGATTTCCAAAACAAGCATCTGGGTAGTGTCAAATCTGTTCAGAAAAGTTCCGGTTCTAGAAGGACTTAACCGTAAATAGTGCTGGCTAGGACTAGGAAAGAAGCTGTAGCTCACTCCACATATGACAATGCTAACTCTTTCTTAAGAAAAGACCCGACCGGGTTATTCTTAGTAGAAAATGAGTCTGTGATTTACCTCTCAAAAATTAGCATATTTTAGAAGCAAGCCAATTAGGGCACGTCAATTGTGATTTGTGCTCCACTCTTCAGAAGTTTGCTGTACAAACGGAGGCATGCTACCTCACAAGTTCTAGAGGCTGTTGGGGAGCTATTAGGGTAACAAAGGTAGCAATAGACAATTTGACACAACCCCAGAATAAAGGGACAGTGAGCTGTATGTAGTGGGGATACCACCCTGGCTACTCCTTCTCCTCCCCACCCCCTAGAATTATCCAGCCATTTTGCACTTGAAACATATTGTGGTCATTACTACAATAGAAGTCTGGGGCGAGTCAGCCATGTGCTAGGAGTGCCCCAAACCCAGCGGCCTTAGACTAGGAAACAACTCCATTAATGTGATGTGCTTAGTTTATGCTTAATTAATCCCTTGAAATTAAAGTACCTGTTCCAAGAGTTTCTATTGACTGTATAAACCTGTTTTTAAAGGCTTTCATTTCAATCACAAATTTAGTGTTTCTCCTATAGAAACTTAAATTAAAATGCCCCTAGTGCCATTATCTTCTGAGCAGTACCCAGGAGAGCTGAGTAACTGACTCTTCATTCATTGGAACAGCCAAGGCAGATGAGAGGAACAGGAATACGGAGGCAGATAATGGTTCTCTAAACCCCGACCTTCTGGAGAGAAAAATGACTGTGCCTGATTACGAAACTGATTAATTTGGGGAGGCTTAATTGTCATGTTAGTGTCCTATCTAGCTAGGCTCATTTAATACTGGCTCCTGCTTCTGGCTCTTCTTTCAACTAAGTTGGTGACTTTGAACAAATTACTTATTTACTTTAGAACTCAAGAACAGTTTATAACTGTACGATAAAGGGAGGCCTTTGGGCCCCACAATGCCAGTGCTATGAGATTTGCCCCTAGACCTTCAGGCGCCTATCCTAAGTGTCCTTTGGGAAGAGGTTCCTAAGAAGAGACTGGAGTACATTAAAGAATACTAATGTTAGACCTCACCCCAGGAAATTCTGACTTACTCAGTTTGGGGTGTGGCCTGGGCATCTGGATTTTTAGATGTTCCCTCAGGTGAGTCTACTGTGCAGCCAGGGTTGAATCACTATGGCTTGGTAATACCCTAAGAAGATCTGTAGCTTGTGTAAGGTACAACCACTCACAAAGCAAGCAAGTTAGCACTGATTTGGGGTGGGGGGTTATGTTGTAGGGGAAGGGATTACTTCCCTTTTCTAAAACTGATGCTATGTCATAGATGGGTGAGATTCTCACTACTCTATTTACAATTTGAAACAACAGAACACACCCCATTCTGTTTTATCTATGGGAAGACCCAATAGATCCTAGAAGAAACCTGAAAGATGTTCCCAAAGAGAAACTGAGCTGCATTCTAAGCCAAATTGACTTCTTTCCAGGTATGTTCAATTCGGTAGCAAGCTGTCAGTGCAGGGAAGGCAAAATAATGACAGTGTGCAGACTTTGAACACTCAACCAGTGTCAACATGCCCCTGTCACAATGCTGACATTTATATCCTACACCGTACACAGTGCAACTGGTTAAGGCTTATGTAGAAAAACATTAAGTCATGCATTTCATTTAAAAATAGAAAGTACCATAAATTCTGGTTCCTCTAGTTCCCTTCGAATGCTTGTAACTTAGTGATTGAGCAAAAGATCTTTTGTGCCGCGTCAACAGTCATTCTGCACTTTTCAAACAGGAACTATTTGGACTATAGCTGGTCTGCACACTCACCTGTGAGCCTGTGTGTATTCTGCTGGTTCCAATGTAAATGAAACATTCAGAATTCGAGTCCTACTATTATTTCAGTATGAACTAACCAAATAGAATTTGTAATTTGGCTAAATTGCTTGCCTAGAGGTTGACTATAAAGTAAAATGGTCCATGGCTACCTCCTGTAGCAACTTCTAACCTGTCTAAACTCAAGGAATTGTGATTTTTCTTTGGGGCACCCAAGACTTTTCTCTTTTGCTATATTTCTTCATTTATTTTGCTTTTTGCCAGTACCTTCTCCAAAGGACAATTAGAACAGGTGTGAGGAATCTACAAAGTGAAACTTTCAGATGTCATAACATTTTAGAGCTGAAAGGAAACCCCTTCTATCCTGAGACCTAAAGAGGTAAATCAACTTGTTCAAAGTTCTAGAGTTCCATGATAGCAGGAGGCAGGTCTGCTGAACCTGGGACCAGTTTCCCCAAACCCCCGAAATGCACTTTGTAGGGGAAGGGGAAAACAATTCATATGGGAGGAAGGTCTTCAACTAATGATTAAGACCAAACTGTACAAGATTGCCTGAATTTATTGAAGGTTCATTCACTGTAGTCATATTCCATATCTCAGCTCTAAATGTATTTCATAGATGCATAAAGTGCATGCGGTTTTAAATTTGCAATCTAAATGCACATATTCATTCAACAAATAGTTAACATATGCCTGGATGTGCAGGCATTGTCCTAGGTGCTAGGGATACCTTGAAATGCCTAATAGAGAAAAGTCCCTGCCCTCATGGAACATAGTTTCTAGTGAATGTACATGAAAAACTAAACATGAAAGACTCTTGAGCTGGAAGATGAGCTTAATTTTTTGTACCACTGGAAGCCAACTATTAATAGAAGGGACATCGAGCATTGTTAAATCGTAATTACAGGTAATTCTCAAGTTATTGTAATATAATGGGATTACCGTCCCCCAGCTTGGTAGCAGGTCACAAAATTGCCTATAGAAACAATCTTTTAAGTCAAGTTATCAAGTTCTTAGGCTAGCCCACAAAAATCTATGTAAGCCATGATACAGCTGAACTATAATTCACAATATTACCAGGTGAGAGTCTCTGCCCTAGGTGCCACATTCCATAATCTGCAGAAGAAATGCATAGAACAAGAAATCGGGGGGGTTCAACAAGTAAGAGCTCAAGGTAACACATGCCAGAATAGGGTTAAGCCTTGACGCTTAACCAAGATGGTAAGCTGTTATTTAACATCTCTTACACCTCGGGTTTCCTCACTGTAAAATAGAGATAATAGCAAATCTGCCTCATGGGATTGGTGTGAGGGTTAAATGAGATATTTCTTTGTAAAACCTGTGCCCCATGAATAGGGATCATGGTTTTTATTTGCCACCCTCCTACTTCCAGTGACTCCTCCCTGGGTACCCAGTGAACTCCCTTCTGCCATGCCAACTGCCAGGATGCTGCTCTAAATGGTGGAATTTCAAGCGGCACAACACAGTATGGAGTGAAAGAAATGTAGGCCTTGCGGGGAGGCTATTTTGGGCCCTGCAGTTGGTTGGTCAGCACGTAGGCAGGCCAGCCTTGCCTGGGATTCTGCCCCTGGGTCAGCTGCCCCTAGCTCTTCCCAGGTTTCACAGCTCTCTCCCTTCCCCTGTTTCTGGGCCCGCATATTTCCTGTGGAATTTTTCCCACCAGACTCCCACGGTCATGTTAGGGAGACCTTCTTCCCCCGTGGGAAGAAAGGAGCTGGGGCAGGGTGAGATCCTTCTATGGAAGTGATAAGAGGGTTGTGAGTTGGAGGCTACCTGTATTGAGATGGAGCACTTCTGTTGTTAATGATCCCAGCTGGATATTTACTTTGCTTCATAAACCCATCAAAAAACTTTTTGTAAACTTTAGTAAACTGTCTGCCCACCTTTATACAGCTAAGGAAGCTTATAGTGCAACAAGCTTGTTAAATGTTAAGCTTTCAAATCTGATATTATGAGATACAGATTTCAGAATAAATGAGCACTGTCTATCTATCACTTCTTATTGCTTAGGGACTGTATGAATGAACAATACTATAACAAAGCATCTAAGCTGAAAAGGGGGTCTTGCCCTTGGGGAGGGTCTCTTGGAATCAAGAAATTACATATCAGACTCTTTTAAGAGCCACTGATTCCTTACTTGAGATCTGAGACCAACATCTCACTCTAGCCCCTGTCTAGAAACCTATTTCAAACTGTTATTGTTTAGAGAAATCTATTTGAGGCTTAATTTGAATTGGCCATTCTTAGGACCTTAGGTCAATCAATCCAAGAGGCACAACAATATGCTCAAAAGATTCTCCTTTAGCTGATAAAAAAATAAAAGCTATCTGGTATTTTCCTATCCTAATATCTTCTTCATCTTTGTTTATTTAGTACTCACAGTACATAGCACCTTCATTTGATTAAAATACTTGCTCTTTAATTAATCGCTTGAACTCAATCAAGAAACAAGTACAGCATGCACCTGTAGTCCGAACTACTCAGGAGGCTGAAGTAGGAGGATTGCTTGAGCCCAGGAGTTCGAGTCCAGCCTGGGCAGCACAGAGAGAGCTCCATCTCGG